AAAAAAAAAAAAAAAAAAAAAAAAAAGGCACCCATCGGCTCTTAGCCATCCCTGCCAAAGACCAGCAATCGGAGGAACAGCAAAAGCAAACGTCAGATGCTGCCGCAGGTGAACTTGTCAACAAGTCAGCCCTCTGAGCAAGTCCCTTTCCAGAGGAGACCTGGGAGGGGGAGAAGGGTAGGCCCGCAAAGGCTCTGAGAAAGGGAGGCCAGCGCCGGTGGGGGTGCGGCTCGGGTGTGGGCGCAGGTGTTTTGCTCCTGCTCCCCGGGGGCTGACGCACGCTCTCAGGGCACGCGCCTCCTCCACACAGCCAGGCCGAGGAAGGATCCGCGGGAGGGAAGGGAGCATGGGGGATGATGCTCCTCCCGCACAGGAATAGGGGGTGGACGAGGTGATCCGCCTGTTACCCGCAGCCCGCAAAGGGCAACCAGAGGTAGCCTTGGCTTGGCGCCCCCGACCGCCCCGGCAGCCGGGCGTCTCCCGTTGCAGCATGCAGTCTGCCCAGCTCGCCCCCGCCCCGGCCCCGGAGGGCAGGTACCTCGGAGCCCCGGCCCCCAGGAGCCTCCCGGCGGAGATCGGAGCGTCCCTCCAGCTCCCTGCGCCGACGTCAGCGTCAGCACCGGCGAGGGAAGGGGCGGGAGCGCAGGAAGCGGTCCTTCCTGCAGCGGCCGCCGCCAGCCAGAATGGCAGCGCGGAGCCTGTGCGCGCCGGCAGCGCAGCAACGCGGGCCGAGCGGGCGCCCTCCCCTCTGCCAGAGCCCGCTGTCTCCCTCCCTGCAGGGACACCCACAAGCGACTGCTCACCCACAAGCGACTGCTCTCAGCACCACCCCGGGGTAAGGGTAGGGAGAGGACGGTAGTCTCACCTTGTTTGGGGCGGATCAGGGATGAGATGAGCGAGTGTCCCTCTCTCTACTCCCTGGGGTATTCCCGTGACCCCCATCTCTAGGGTCCTGAGTTTGGACCTGCTGCCAGAGATGACCCCGCCCCTGCTCTCTGGCAGGAGTTCCACGTGTCCATAGTGTTGGCGTCACAATGACCTGTCTACAGGTGGCCAAAGCAGAGAACGCCCCAGAGTTCCTTGTATTGTGGAAAGGGTGCAAGCGCCTTTAGAGTTTGGTGGCTTGAGTGAACAGGAGATTTCAGGGTCAGTCCCAGAACAGTCAGACTTTTGCGTCTGACATCCACATTTGGGTTTAAAAACGGAAGGCCTTGTTAAAAACAAAACAAAACAAAACAAAACAAAACACAGCTGGACATGTATATACATACCTGTTTTTCATATCCGTATGCTATACCTATGACTTACACTTGTTTGAGACACAGCGTTTCACCCCTTTTTACCCTTTGTTACAGGAAGCAAACTCCAGGTTCTGGGGTACCTGGCCTATCACAGGACAGTCAAATAGTGCTTCCCAATGCTGTCTATATTGATCCACACACCAGGGCTCATCTCTCCTTTTATGTCTATAGATAAGTTTGTTCAATGATCCCTGCTAGAAATAATTAAGTAGGTGGGGGGAAAAAAAAGTAATGATGCGAACAAGCTAGAAATCCACAACAGCCTAGCCTTGACGTGGTCTTCGCATGAAGTGGCGCCCTCCTCTAGTCTGTTGTCTTTAGCAAAATGATTCTATACGAAAGCAAATCCATCTAGAGACTTGACTCTCTTGAAGTCCCACACACTGCTCGTGGGAAGAAAATGCTGCAGCCGTTTGATCAAATAGTCTGGCAACTCTCAAACTAGTAAATATAGATCTGCCAAGTGGCCCAGCAGGCCCACTTCTGGGCCCGTACTATAGAGATTTGAAAGCGTATGTCTGTGTAAAAGCTTGCACAGGTGTGACTGCAACGTCAGTCAAAATAACTCAGCTGGCCGTCAGCACACGAAAGAAAAAGCAGAGGGTACTATGTACACAATGCCCAAGTATTGGTGCACGCCACAACTTAGGAGAAATTTGACATTTGAAATTCTACGTAAAAGAAATCAGTCATAATAGGGGACAGATTATACTATTCCATCCATTTCAAAGTCCAGAAAGGGGAAAGATTCTATAGAGACAAAAGTTTATTGGCGATCATTTGGGGTAAATAGGAAAGAAGAACCAAGGGATGTGGGTTTTTTTTTTTCCTTTTTTCTCTTTTCGAATAGCAGTTTTTTAACACTGACAAGTGACAGCTATTTCACATATTTGTTAACCTGTGAGTAAACTGAAAGTGGGTATTTGTGCATTACACCGCAATAAAGCTGTATAAAAAGTAAAAAGATCGTGTTTCTAATTTTACACGCACACACACCGAGTCATGCCTACACATCCAATACCTTTCCTAAAAGAGTTACAGGCTAAGAACCACCACACCGTCTCACTTCATAATTCACTCCATTTGTGAAGGCATGAACAAACTGACCTGTGATGTTTGAGTGACAATGCCCGCTCTAGAACCATACGTTTGCTTGCTTAGGCTCTAGTCGAGGAACTGTTTGGGGAGGATTAGGCGGGGTGGCCTTGCTGGAGGAGGTGGGTCGTAGGGGGTACTACGAGATGCTTTTCTGTGTGGAGCTAAAACAAGTGGCCACTTTCCCACCCCGACTCTCACAAGGGAAAACAAATGAAGAATTCTAGCACCCAGACTCCAAATTTCTACTTTAATTCTTTTGTTTTGTTTTTGTTTGTTTCCTTTTTTTGTTTGTTTGTTTTCAAGACAGGGCTTCTCTGTGTAGCCTTGACCTTCCTGGACTTGCTTTGCAGACCCAGCTGGCCTAGAACTCATAGAGATCCACCTACCTCTGCTTCCCAGAGTGCTGGGATTACAGGTCTAGGCCACCACACTAGGCTTTCTCCTTTAATTCTTAAAGAGAACACTAACATATGAAGACATTTTGAGGGAGTGGTTTGCTTATGAGAATAGTTTGGATGCTGGTTGTGCTAGTTGAGGAGATAGCTATTGGTGAAGTAATTGTCATGGAAAGCATGAGGACCCAAATCTAATCCCCAGGGCTCAAGGGAAAAAGCCAGGCATGGAGGTGTGCGTTGGAAACCTCAGTGCTGAGGAAATGGAGGCAAGTGGATCCCCGGGGCTTTTGGACCTAACCTAATTGATGGGTTCCAGAACAGTGAGATGCCCTTTCTCAAAGCACAAGATGGACAGAGCCTGCTCAGTGGCTCCTGAGCTTGACCTCTGGCCTCCAGAGGCATGGACGGACATATGTAGAAGCACCACCTCCAGCACTGTCTGTTTCTCGCATTCCAGTCTCAACTTCAACATATCTGCACTTTTGCCGAGTAATCTCTCGTTCAACATACACACCATCTATATTAGTAATTTATGTATAACATAACCTGCTTTAAGGAATTGCTACATATTTTTGATATTTTAGATTCCCAGTAACCTCAACCAGTTTGAGGAATGCATTTTCTTGTGAAAAATGAACAATGAATTCCTCACCAGGTAGATATTGGTAGTTCCATATGCTCGAGACCCAAATTACTAGTAATTAAAAGCATCTGGTTGATTAAAATTGAGCAAACTTTAAGACGCTGAGACTTATGGCCAACTGTTGGGCAGTGTGCACGGAATCTTATGTAAGAAGTGGCAAATAGTAGGATCTGGAGAGGACAGGAACTCCACAAGGAGAGCAACAGAATCAGAAAATTTGAACACAGGGGTCTTCCCAGAGACTCATACTCCAACCAACTACCATGCATGGAGATAACCTAGAACTCCTGCACAGATGTAGCTCATGGCAGTTCAGTGTCCAAGTGGGTTCCATAGTAATATGAACAGGGACTGCCTCTGACATAATCTGATTGGCCTGCTCTTTGATCACCTCCCCCTGAGGGGAGAGCAGCCTTGCCAAGCCACAGAAGATGACAATGCAGCCACTCCTGATGAGATATGATAGACTAAGATCAGAAGGAAGGAGAGGAGGACCTCCCCTATCAGTGGACTTGGGGAGAGGCATGCTGAAGAAGAGGGAGGGAGGGTGAGATAGGGAGGGGAGGAGGGAGGGGCTTATGGGAGGATACAAAGTGAATAAAGTGTAATTAATAAAAATGAATACATTAAAAAAATAATAAAAACAAATTTAAAAATAAAAAAGCAAACTTTAAGAATGAAGTTTGGAAAATGTTTTTTTTTTTTTTTAATCATGAAAACCCTTTTTTTCCTGATTCTTACTGGCATTACACTTTTAAATAAAAGTTCTGTTAAAGTTTGCTAGAAAAATCATTCAGTCCCCTCTCCAACTATATTATACTTTTAAAGGAACTGTATACATTCCAGAATGTGGATTAAGCATTGTAGTCAATTTCAGTTTTTATTTCAGTGGTTAATTTGGGCTGTGCATGCAGCAGAACAATGCTTTTGTTATGCTCTCTGTGGAGTTGCTGGGATCTTTAAGCAAATTTGTGAGTGCATATGAAAATAGAGCACATGTTTAATTAGCATTAACTTTCATTAATTAAAATTAACT